TTAGTAGCTCTTAATAGTGACCAGATTATCGCGGGCTGGGCAGAAGAGAAGACCAAGGACCTGATGAAAAGAGTGGCCCAGGCGTGCGACGCCAGTATGTCTCGCAGACGTGGCATGAACATAAGACCTTCCGTTCACTGGTGGAACGACCACATCAGCGCCCTTCGTAAAGGGTGTCATCAAAAGAGAAGAATATCTCAGCGTGGCTACCACCGAACTAACTCTGTGGAACTGGTTGCAGAGTACAAAAAAGCCCGCCGATCCCTGAACAAAGCGATCAAAGATAGCAAAAGAAAATGCTGGAAGGTGCTCATCAACGAGGTGGACAGAGATGTGTGGGGTCGGCCGTATAAGGTGGTTATGATCCATCTTAAAAACCAGCTAATGCCATTACCCACGTGTCCTCAACTCCTACAGAAGATCGTAAATGCGTTGTTCCCCGAACAAAGCGAGTTTAAGTACCTATTAGCGCAGAATGAAATGGATGACATTTTATTTGTCACGGAAGAAGAACTGATGGAGGCTTGTAATCGTGTAGGGAACAATAAAGCACCGGGATTGGACGGGGTCCCCAATATTGCCTTAAAAACAACTATAAAAAAAGTGCCATCATTGTTCCTGGACGTCTACGACACATGCCTCAAGGAAGGGATTTTCCCTCGGAAGTGGAAGCAGCAACGACTAGTACTACTTCCAAAAGGAAAAAAGCCACCAGAAGAACCGTCCTCTTATCGACCACTTTGTATGTTAGACACGGCAGGTAAGATACTTGAGCGTATAATCCACCAAAGAATAGAAGCAGTTGTCGATCCACTCCTGGCAGACAACCAGTATGGTTTTCGAAAAGGACGATCAACCCTGGACGCAATCAACCTGGTTGTTGCAACGGCTAAGGAGGCAATCGAAGGGATCAGATGGAAGGGTGGAGCGAAGAAGTACTGCCTGGTGGCGACTCTGGACATCAAAAATGCCTTCAACTCTGCCAACTGGGACTGCATTATGCAAGCTCTGGAAGAGAAAAACGTACCAGGATACCTATGTAGGATAGTGGCTAGCTACTTTACGGACAGAATCCTGAGATACGACACGAAGAATGGTCCAAAAGAGTACGATATTACCGGAGGCGTACCCCAGGGTTCTGTTCTGGGTCCACTTCTGTGGAATGTCATGTATGATGGCCTGCTGAGACTGACTCTACCAAGAAGTGTCAAGCTTGTTGCATACGCAGACGATGTAACTGTCGTAATCGTTGCGAAACACCTAGATGAGATAAACCACATGTTCAGTATCACATTTGAGAAAGTTAACCGGTGGATGGATTCAATGAATCTACAACTGGCTAAACAGAAGACTGAGGCTGTGCTTATTACCAGCAGAAAAGTGATAGAGACGATAAAACTGAAAGTCGGAGAACAAGAAATCACATCACAACCATATATCGGATATCTGGGAGTGATGCTTGATGCCCGACTCAACTTTAAGCAGCAAGTCGAACACGTGAGTGCAAAAGCATCAGCAGTGGTAGCCAGCTTAGCACGGCTGATGCCAAACATCGGAGGCCCAAAGCAGAGCAGAAGACTACTACTATCATCTGTAATCACATCAGTGCTCACTTACGGAATATCTATCTGGGCGGACGCACTAGAAAAGCAAGAATCATGGAGAAAGGCTGGACCAGTATATCGTCTGAGTGCCCTAAGAGTAGCTTGCGCCTTCCGCACAATATCTGAGGAAGCAGTGTGCGTCATTTCTGGAACTCTACCTCTCAGAGTCCTAGCTGAAGAAAGACGAAACCTTTACTAACGAAAGAGGTCAACAACACTGAACGCAGAAGAACTCAGAACGGAACAAAGACAGCACAGCATCGCACGATGGCAATCTCAGTGGGATGCCGCAGAGAAGGGTAGATGGAAGTATCGTCTCATACCAAAGATCGACATTTGGCTGAACCGGAATCACGGTGAGGTCAACTACTACCTAACACAGATGTTGTCAGGACATGGCTGCTTTCGGGCTTATCTTCACCGCTTTAGGCATGACGACTCTCCGGAGTGCCCGTCTTGCCCTGAAGCCACTGAAGATGCAGAGCATGTTTTTTTCGAGTGCTCGCGTTTCAATCAACAACGTGAGGAGCTGGAGAAGATCCTGAAGAAGACAATTCAACCAGAGTCAATCGTAGAAGCAATGCTGTCTTCAGAAGCTGCCTGGAATGCAACGAACACTTTTGCCACAGAAGTGCTTACAGAGCTGCGTTCCATCGAGAGAAAAAGAGCAAAAAACAGAATCTAGAAGGAAGATAATATCTTAGCCACCAGAAGGAAGAGCGGCAGCTAATTCCTCCCCCCGCGAAGAAATGCCTTACGGCGGTACCATGGGGGATCAGAGGATAGAAGAGAAAGGGGTTTAGGGTTTAGTGGGTAGGGGCGTCAGCGTCAAGTTTTAGTATGACGCTGCGTCGAGTCGCCACATATCCGGACCAACATCTATGCCTAGAATCCGTAACAAGGATTCCCCCCCCCTAAAGGGAAAAAAAAACACACACACACACACATACATACATACATACAGACATAGTGACAACCTCGCGGAGATAGTCAGGGAAGCTTCCTGTGACCTTCAAACGTCGAGATCTGATGAAAACTCGATTTTTGCAAAACGGGGTGAAACAACTTCTCGATTTTTGAAAATCTTCGATTTTCTTAGCGGAAATTAAAAAAAGAGCCTTGTTAAAAAATTGATGATTTTTAAACTGGTGAAGCTGAAGAAATGAAAGGTTATAAATATTTGTGGAATTCAGGTTAGATTTGGGCTGGATTTAATTTTAAAAATCTTATTTTTCTATCGCGAGAAGAAAATGAGCAGTGTTAGAAAATTGATGATTTTTTAACTAGTGGAGCTGAAGAAATAAAGTACACAAATACTTGTTAAACTTATGTTAGATTTGGGCTGGATTTAATTCAGAAAATTTTCTTTTGCTATTTCGAGAATAAAAAGAGGAGCCTCGTTAAGAAATTGATGATTTTTAAACTGGTAAAGCTAAAGAAATTGAAGGATATAAATATTTGTCGAATTTAAGTTAGATTTGGGCTGTATTTAACTTCAATAATTTTATTTTACTATCTCGAGAATTAAAAAAAAAGCGCCTTGTTAAAAAATTGATGATTTTTAAACTCGTGGAACTGAGAAATTAAAGGACATAAATAATTGTGATACTTTGGTTAGATTCAGGCTGGAATAATTTTGAAAATTTTATTTTACTGTCTTGAGAATAGAAAAAAGAGGCTTGTTCAGAAATTGATGATTTTTAAACTAGAGGAGCTGACAAAATTAAAGTACATAAATAATTATGAAACTTAGGTTAGATTGGAGCTGGATTGAATTTTGAAAATTTTATTTTACTGTCTTGAGAATAAAAAAAAAGAGCCTGGTTTAGAAATTGATGATTTTTTAACTGCTGAAGCTGAAGAAATTTAAGGATATAAATATTTTTTTGTAATTTAGGTTAGAGTTGGGCTAGATTCAATTTTAAAAATCATATTTTACTATCTCGAGAATAAAAAAAGGAGTCTTGTTACGAAATTGATAATTTCTTTACTAGTGGATCTGACGAATTTAAACTTAGGTTAGATTTCTGCCGGATTTTATTTAGAAAATTTTCGGACTTCAAAGACTGAAACATGATTTCGCTTCGGCCTAACTGTCGCTAGAAATATGTTGACTTAGTGTTAATGCAATAGTAACTTTTCGTTTGTTTCTTTGAATATTTTTTAGTTGATTTCGTTATTTTCTTTCAGATCCCTTTATTCCCGACTTTTCTACCAGTCGTCATAGCGAGCAGGACATCTTGAAGTTATTTATTGAAGAACCGTTTTCTACTACAGAAGAAAATTATTCGAGTTCCGAGAACGATTACGAGGATTCCAGTTCTACACGAAGTGATGAATTATTTTTTGATTGTGATTCTTCGCACACTTCTGACATTGAAGATGATTCATCTTCTAATTCCGATGAAAGTGTGTTAGATGAAGATAATTTGAATGAACCTCTTTACCCCGGGGCTCCTCTCTCATTTCAGGAGAGCTTACTTTCGATCCTTCTGTTAACTATACGTCATAAAATTTCCGATGTACTTTTATCAGACATTCTATTACTTATTAGTGCTCATTGCATTGAACCTAACCTTTGCTTAAATACCGAATATAAATTCAAACAATATTTCGATCGTTTGGGAATAAACTTCGATCGTCATTTTTATTGTCCTCGTTGTCATCATTCGTTACCATCTGAATGTAGTACTTGTTCTAATGGCCAGCACGTTACTGACAAGGATTCCAGCGCTCCTTATTTTATTACAACGTCTATTATTTCTTAACTATCAGCAATGTTTTTATGAAATGGTTTTTATAAGTAATTTAATCATCGTTTCAGTCGACAGAAGTTAAACAATGAAAATAAAGAAGATATTTACGATGGAGATATTTACAATTCTTTTATAAAGAAGGATAAGATTTGACGTGGAATGACCCTAATATTAAAGTATTAAGTAGAAAACCAGTTGAAGCTTTAGTTTCAGATATGTTAAACCCTAGTAAAATTGACAGTGCTTCAACCAGATACGGTTTAAAAATGGAAACTCATGCCAAAGATAAATACCAAGAATTGACAAATTGTATTGTTAAACGTGTTGGAGTGTTGGTCAGCAAATTTCAGCCTTGGCTTTGTGCAAGCCTGGATGGCGTTGTCACTGATGATGGCTCTATTTCAAAAATTGTAGAATTCAAATGTCCAAGTTCCTGCGAGAAGAAACCAATAATTAATACCGTTGATAACTCAAGTAATATTAAGTATTTACAACTTATTGATAATAAGTTACAACTGAAGAAGACTGATCTTTATTATACACAAGTTCAAGTTCAAATGTATGTCAGTGGAATGAGCGTTTGTGATTTCTTTGTCTATTCACCTGTTGAAGATGGCAGTTTTTTGATTGAAGTTCATAGAGACGAAGATTTTTTAAAAACTGTGATTTTAAAAAGCGAACAATTCTATTTTCAACATTATTTACCTGCTTTATACGCGACCTTAACTATTGAAGATAGTGATAAAGAAAATAATTATAACAATTGTGATAATACTGATAACTTAGATAGTAATGAGGAAAATGATATTACAATGGAGAAACTAAGCTGTACTGAAAGTGATATTGAGAATATTTTTAAATAATAATAACTTATTTTTTATAATACATAACTACGTAAAAATAAGGAATATTGTCATTGTTACCAACAAGTCAATTATTAGAAAGTTAAGTAAAGATATTTATTCGTTACTTAAAATTTAATATTTATTAAGTTAAGTAAAGAGTGTTGTTATTCGTTATAAAAATACCAATTTAAAAGAGTTTTAATTTAATATTCCTTACTAATATAAAAGTTTTAAAGAATGTTATTATTTATTACAAGAATTTAACCTATTTATTCATTAATTTTACAATTTATTTACAATATCTTGGAAATTTAATTTTGTATGTCATTAAAATCCATAAAATAAATACAGTTTTTATGAGCAATAAGATATTTTTTATCTCTCATTTTCAGTATCTTCTTTATTAGAAATAATTGGAGGCTGTAAATTTACCAAAACACAACAAATGTGCACAATATCGTCTATGCAATGAAACAAGTGCTGAGGAATTTTATGCAATATTTGATAAGTCCGTAATCGTTTCATGATTCTTTCAACGTGAATCCTAACTCTTGCTACACTGTATGTTTGTTGAGTTTCTATGGTTGAAAATTCATTTTTTTTTCTCAAGAAAAGGCGGCATAACCATTTGTACTTTTTTACCGCTTGCGTCAATCACTGTTTTTATTTCTGGAAAACTTTGTCAGCCAAAACAATGTCACCATCTTCTAATAGATCTAACAGCCCAGACTCTATTTTAAGTTGAGAATCCGATTTCCGTCCTTCAGCTATGTCAGATCTTAAGGAAATAAAACCTCCAGGAGTTATTCCAATAAGAACTTTAGCCGTGAAGTTTTTTTTTGTATTGGGAGTATATAAAAACACGATTGTCGACACTTTTAGGGATATCAATTCGAAATTCTGTACAATCAATTATAACTCTGGTGTTACTGTAATCAGGTAGAAAGCAGTCAGGCATAGTTTCTTGTACAGCGTCAATATCTGGCCAAAATACTAAATTTCTGGTTGCACTAGCTAGTAGTTGCAAAGTTTCATAAAAAATTGTAGAAATTGTTGTTCTGTGAACACTAAACAGTACACCAAGTGCTGAAAATGTCAATCCAGTTTTCATTTTCATTAAAAAAATTAATAGTCGATCTTTTTTCGAAACAGTGTACTTTTTTCGCGTAGACATTCTTGTCAACAAGAAATCAAAATTTTCGAATGATACCCCTGCCAGATCAATGATTTCTTGATCCTTTGTCACCGATGTGAATCCATTAAAATGTTTACTGTTTGCTTGACTTTCTTTATCAACAAAGGTTTTTTTAGGAGTACCACATTCTTTATCTACAAATTTTTTATTACCAATATGAATTTTTATCGACCTAGTATCTTCAACAATTTCTGTCCGAGTTTCAGCATGCCATAAATCGTCTTTGACATAACGATTGCAAGTAAATGTTTGAGAATTGATATCAGAGCTCGAGTAAAAATCAATTTGACACCCTTGGTCTACTTTTGAAGACACTACTGGAGGATTTTCAGTCATCACTTCTACCGATTCTATAACATTGGCCTCAGCATTTGATGTTGAAGGTAATTGTGCTTTCATTCGCCGATTCATTACGCGCTTATATCTGAAAATATAAAATTATCATTGCTAAGTCGTTCAAATTGATCAAGTTTACCAAATAATTTTTACCTGTTTAACGCAGAGGATTCATTTACTTTTGAGCACTTGTAAATTGAAGGAAATATAGTTGGAATGTAGCTAGGACTTAGCTCCTCTTCTGATTTCTTACCTCCAATAAAATGATCACTACAAATACAATCACATGGCTTGGGAACCCACTGTGATCCATCAGCGCTAAAAAATCACGTGTTTACAAAATGTTAGAATAGTATGTTAATTTTTTTTTGTTAATTTACATTTAAGCATTTATTGTAAATTAGATTTTTTTCATCACAGAATCATAACAAAATTATTAACTTTTACTAAACTTAAAAATTTTGAAAAAGTTTTCAATTCTATAATACTAAAGTTAGCTGGCGTTAATTTTTTTATTTTTTTTTTTTTGTTTAATAAAATTAGAACTAAGAAAAAATTTTTTTTTAATTTTACTTAGAATTTATCAAGCTTTTTACAAATTAATTTTTTTTTTAGTTTTTTGTAATGATTTTTTCAATAAAAATAATTATAAAAATTTTAGGATGTTGGCTAACTTAATTTTCATTTAAATATTCCGAATTATTGTTATTGATAAAATTAAGGTTATGGTAGTACTTACTTCAGCCTTTTAACTGCAGCTATCCACTGATTCCGTTGATTTTTTTTCCATTGAGCAGTCGGAAATTTATAAAACTTGCACTCACTTTTTCTGCTGGTATTTTTACAATTTACGACACAACAACTTTGGTGTCTCATTTTTTTTTAATTGATTTAAATTAAAACAAAATAAATACTCTCACGTGCACTTGCTTACAATTTTAGTAATAATAGCCCCCCGTAATACCGAAAGTAACGACTGCGAACGCTTCAGTCGATTTAATTTCCCCTACCATGGCTTCACTCACAGCGAATATATAATCCTGCATGGTTGTATATCGCTCCATATATAGTCATATATAATTATATATGATTATATATAACCTCATACACAATTCCATATATAATCATGTATGATTATATATAAAACTATATATAATTATATATAATCTTGCTTGGCTGTATATTGCTCTATATATAGTCATATATAATTATATATGAATATATAT